GTCTTTATGAGGAGATAATGAACATCGTAATAAACACTAGATAGCGGGTTTACCCTAACACGTAAGACATAAAAATAAAAAAATAAACGAAGTCTGCAAATTGATAGACATTGTAACACGCTATTAGATATGAAGAAAAATATACAGCCGAAAATGTCGCTTATACAAGTGCGTACCGGATATACCGGACAAATGTACAAATTCCACGCTAATTTTAACTAAACATCCTAGCGATACGTACCCTAACCAGAATATCGCTTAATACGATATCGCTTATAATGAAGCTTATAAGCAATAAATTGATAATCTAAAAGTGTTCTCCATCCAACACTTAGGGATTCGATGAGTCATTACGACAATTGGAATGTCCACGCGTTTTAATACAAATACTCTTAAATGCAATGTTTATCTTTTTGTTTGAATAAATGGAAAAAGTTTTTATAACAAAGGCAGTGACGCACCCAGGTCCTTGTTCATATTGTAACACGACACATCCCCTAAAGTAAAATGTAGGTGTATCACTGAAGGAAGGGTTCTATAAAAAAAATTATTTGAGAAAAGGGTTCCATGGGGTTGCAAAGACTAAAGTAGACCGATCTAACATTACTTATAGTGGTAACTTGTTTTTAGTAACTTTAATTTAAGGCAGTTGCCTTCAAAGTTGATTTATATTAATTTCTTCGATTGTAACATAAACAATTAAAAAAATTTTTATTAATTTTTAGTTTTTTACACCTACTTTCTATTGACTATTCAAAAAACAGGGCGCAAATATTATTTCAGTCAATTATATCGATTTGTGTAATTTCGTTACATGTTTAGGCTCATTACAACCTGACTTCCACACTTCGGAAATCAATTAATTTTGCACGTGTTTGCTATTAGACAGAAGGAGATACAATCTCATAAGTCATTTGATAAACTAGAACTCTTAAAATTAATTTTGAATTGATCAACAGACGATAGCGTACACTTAACAGGTGGAAGCATAAGCAGTGTACTTAAAGATATTGTTTTGCCGTGATGTGTTCACGAGTATTTGTGCGTATTACAAAGTCAACAGACGCCATTTTAGTGTGTATTGTATATAGATTTCAAACTATCACAAAATTTGTACAGAATGTTGTCTATTTTTTATCTTAACAGTGCTCGAAAAAAAACCTAATGATACTCATAACCACGTGAAGCATATACATTCAAGGAAAAAAGAAACTGCATCTTCTTTACTAATGGAGGAAGTAGTTGGTTTTGAAAATAAATTGTTTCTTTTGGTAGATTGTATTGACATGGATACATTATTACATTTTAAAACCTTAAGAAAGCGGGATGGGAACTTCAAAACCGTGCTTCTATTGACACTGATAGTTACTTCACAAGAACAATCAAAACAATGAAGAATGGTTTTGATAAACGATTTGATCAGTTCAAACTAAATAAGCCTACCTTGGCTTTCATTGCGAATCCTCTCAGAGCAAACAACAAGGAACTAAATTTTACTCCTTTTCATGTAAATTTAAAATCCAATTACTAGATTTAAAGATCAATGATTTCGAAATATTCTAGTGTAAGTATAGTGGCTTAGAAGAGCTGGAAAAGCAAAAATGTTTTGCGAGATCGCAGCATAAGTGGACAGCTATAAAAGTGATGACTAAACCTAATTTTCGTTACCTGGAATAATTTTCCGGAATGCTATAAGCAAATAAAAAGATGGCTTTTGGTGTGCGGACGCTCTTTGGGTCAACACTTTCGTACGAGCAAGCTTTCTCTTCTTTGCACTTAATAAAGAGTAATCTAAGAATCCAAATAACTAATCATAATTTACAGTAAAGTCTTAAACTAAAAACTACTTGTTGTATGCCAGACTTACCAAAACTTTCTAGAAAAATGCAGTCACTGTTTGCATTGATTTTTTAATATAACTTCAGTCTTCAGTCAATGAATGAAGTCGTATTTTATTTAATTACCACTTCTTTCATCATCATCATAAGGTCGTCAGTCCTAAGACTGGTTGGACACGAACCTCCACTCTTTCCTTTCCTGAGCTAATCTTCGCATTTCTCTAAAACTATAACAACCCATATCCTTAACTATTTGCGAACAGTAATCTAATCTAGGTCTAGCTCTACCGCTCCTAACTTCCGTTTCTGCCTCTAATATGTCTCTGACTAGACCTTCATGCCTGAGTATCTCGCCTATTTCTTATTGACTTCCATAGAGTCCTCTGTTCTGCTATTTTTTCTAATACCTCTTCATTTCTAACCTTCTCTATCCACGGTATCCTCATCATTCTCCTGTAACACATTTCGAACGCTTCTAATATTTTCTTTTCCGCTGCGCCCACTGCCCATGTTTCACACCCGTACAGCGCCGTGCTTCAAACATACACCTTTAACAACCTTTTCCGAATTTCTAAATTAATCGTTCGCGAGCATAGAAGTGACTTCTTTTTATTAAAGGTCACTCGACCCTACGCTGTCCTCTACTATATATCCCTACTACTGCTTCTGTCCTGACTTATCTGAATTCCTACATACCTCACTTTTTCTAATTTTTCGTCTCGTATCTTTATATTCGCTCTCTCCCTACTTTTTATTCCTTTGCATATCAGTATTTTTGTTTTACTGTTATTTATTTTCACTTCTCTATCCGATACAAATTTGAAATAAAATGTAAAAGCCGAATTAAGAATTTGTGGCTCTTTAAAATTCATGAAACAATATTTTTACTGCGAATGGCTCTTTTCCAGCTTAATAGTTTGCCGACTCCTGCTCTAGACCATGTCGATTGTCCTTTTTTTCTCCTTCGGGACCGTTTACGTATATATACTGTATCACCTCTCAGACGGGGAGAGAATCTTGCAGTAGCGTACCAATATGGACCTTCCCCCTTCGGGGTAACCTGACATTTGCACAGGTATACTTGATGAATATACGCGTGCATGCGATATAATTAATGTATTCCCTACAGACTGAGTATTTAATGTTAAAACCCTTTTCATCTGTATAATAATAGCAACTAGTGGAAAAAACGCAAAAAAAAAAGAGGGAGCAGTATGACCTGCGTAACTAATCGTGGTAAAGGGGAATGCGAATCTAAAAAGTGGAAAATCAGCGCGACGATATATATGAAGGGCCCCCTGCCGATATCCCTCAAGTACTTTAACAAGTGCGCATGCGGCTAGCTGTTTCTATTACAGCGCCGCGTTGCTAAGACTTAACGATTTGCATGTAGACGTGCACTCTTATTAACTAAGTTTCGTAATTTTAATCAGTAAACAGAATAGCGTAAATATACAGATAGCTGTTTGTAGCTCTGTGAATATATGTTTAGTTCATTGCATAACCGACGCAAATTCAAAGTACTTAATAATAACTAACTGTAAACCATTTAATTTTATGTGTTCCACGATTCTGCAATTCACATGAACAAACCGCCGCCAGTTTCGATTAAGTAAGGCTAGTTTGTGCTTTTCTGAATGATTTTGGTGAAATTTTGTATACAACAGCTACTTATAAGTAATTTGAATATAATCATTAAAATCCACAATAATAAAAAACAGCTTATGATGGAAAACTATTACAAATGGCAATTTAAGTACCAGAAAATATTGATATTTTTTATTGCCTCTGCGTAAATCTACATATATAATGTGATTGCTGGTATTTCTTTTTATTAAGCCACGAAGTAACCATTACTGTGGCTTATCAGGGACCTTAATTATTTTCATTCCAAAGTCGCCTACTCGACAACAGTAAAAATTGTAACTTTCATGCTCTGATCGATATTAAAAACATTATAAACCCAACAAATTACCGATATCTCCTGCTACAAACAATAAATTAAGAATGATTCATAATTATTAGAAACAAATGATAACAAACATTGCATCAATGATCCATCGATTTAAAAATTTTATTTTCTACTAGCTGACTCGGCAGACTTCCTACTGCCTCAATCGGTAAATAAAAGACCTAAACTTTTGTATAAGATAAACTTAAAACAAACAAAAAGAATCCATAATTAATAAAAAATTTAATTTGTGACAAAACTTAAGATTTATCAATCTACATGAGAATAATCTGAAAGATGGTTAACAACTTTTTATTCACCTTTTAAACCTTCTCTGGACTTCCACAAATAATTCAAGACCAAAATTAGCCAAATCGGCCCATCCGTTCTCGAGTTTTAGCGAGACTAACGAACAGCAATTCATTTTTATATATATAGATTTCTATTTATTCTCATGGCTAAGAAATTTTTCAATGAGGAGGGTGCAGCCGCTTAGCTGATCTGTCACCGCAAAATTTCAATTCCATAAGTTGCTCTCCTCTGCTCACATAGTGGGATTATAACGCGTCGTCTGATCCTTCCCCCCTCACCGCTCCTTTACGCAACATTTGTGTTGCTTCCATATCCAGTATCGAAGATGAAAGGATCTTTGAAGAAGATTATCACTCGCGTTAGCGAAACGTTAGAAAACAATTCCAAGACTCGAATCGATTAGGACAGTATCAGTTCACTTGGCAATGGTTTCCAATTGGTTAGCCATATTTAAAAATGTCGAATTCTTTAGTTTTGACTACAACATCCACACATCAGCGAACTTTAAAATGCATTTTCCTACATCCTTCACTTAGTCTCATCAAATAGATCGGATATTTAGACGTTAAAATTGATAGCACAAAAGTGGTCTAATTTTCTCAGTAGGGGAAGACCATAAGAACTACGCAATAATTGTTTTTATCATAAAAAAAAATATTTAATCGTTGTTTTAATCTTCGATTTTAATTAAAAGATTAAAAAAAACTCTCAGGTCTCATTCTGTGGGGGAAGAGGATGTCCACAATTATTTTACGTTCTATTATAAAAAGGACATGGAAACAAAATTCTGCTACTCGATTCGAATGGACTTAGCACATTATTTTTATTAGTAATCTTCGTTTATTTTAATTTAAAAGTATTAAATGAAATAATTTCATGAATTGTTTTTCTCCTTTCAGGATAATCGAGGAAGCCACATCGTCTCCGACAACCAACCCTTACAGTTGTTTATCCCCGTCGAACCCTCCGTCACCCCTTCTAACCTCCCAGTATACGTTACATATGACCCCCCGCTACGACTACCAAGACCAAGATATGATCCCAGCGTCGCAGGTGCTCCCGCAGGTTCTCCCAAAAACTCAGGAAATGTGGGACATGGGACAGTCGATCTATACGGACTATAGATCGTACGATGGCCGGTTTCAAAACGACTATTTGAGAACGAATTATTCCGAAGGGTTACCGACAGTGTTCGGCCAAACGAGGACAAATAGTTTTGTGCCCAAATTGGGAGGACAACCGCAAAAAGTTCCTAAGGAAGCAAGAATTCGCAGGCCCATGAACGCCTTCATGGTATGGGCGAAAGTTGAGAGAAAGAAGTTAGCCGATGAAAATCCTGATCTCCACAACGCTGATTTGAGCAAGATGCTTGGTAAGTGACTTTTTTACTAATCGTATAGCAACTCAAGGAAATATCCGATGTGTGATATTACTTCAAAACATTGCTACATGACTCTTGAATTTATGTTTTTATATCTCGAAAGCAGTTACTAATCGTATAGAAACTCAAAGAAACATACGATGTGTGATATAACTTCAAAACATTGCTACATGACTCTTGAATTTATGTTTTTATATCTCAAAAGCAGTTACTAATCGTATAAGAAACTCAAAGAAATATCCGATGTGTGATATTACTTCAAAACATTGCTACATGACTCTTGAATTTATGTTTTTATATCTCAAAAGCAGTTACTAATCGTATAGAAACTCAAAGAAATATCTGATGTGTGATATTACTTCAAAACATTGCTACATGACTCTTGAATTTGTTGAACAAACTTCTGAGAAATCTTGTGGAAATATTATTAAGGGTAGTTCATAAAATATGTTCAAAAATAGGTGGAAGGAACGGGTATTGCTTATCGTGTGGAGATACGACATGTGGTAAAGCTTACACTCTCGTAAACGAATGTGACGTTTGCCGTTCATCAATTTTATTTTAATTTTTTTCTTACGATAGAAAGTGATTCTCATTGCTATTTTTAATCACAAGAAATCGTTTATGAAAGGGGACTAGCTTTTGTGACGTAATAGTCCTAAAGAGGGTCGCTGAAGGTCTGACGAAGGAGAAAGGAGGAACCCAACAAGGTGAAATTATGAGTGACGTATTTTATGGACGACCCCTAAATATTAAGAGGTTTTTGGTACACACAATAGATTAGCCGACAATACAGACGTCTAATCGTGATTTTTCAGTTCTTAAGATTTATCTGGATAATTAAAAGGTTCATAAAGTTTGAAGGTCTGAGAGAATTTCTTACAAAGGACTCAAAGGAAAATTTCCAATTAGGCATTATGAATAACGATGTTTTGTGAATATCTTTGAACTCCCACTGTCGCTATTATTACATATAGGAGTACGATCATCCTTTAATTAATTATTTATTAATCGTCTAAAATAATATATACGAAGACAGGAGTTACGATTTTTAATTTATATTTAATAAAGACCGCAATTTAAGCTAATACACCGGAAACCTGCTTAGATAATGGGCATTTAATATGCGTCAATCGGTTTGTGTGTGGCATATAGGATTAGTAAGAAGGATTATAGATGAATTTAATTAAATAAACTTTTGCTTATCTATATATACAAACTTCCGTGATGATATTTTTTTAATTTACTTACTCATTAAACTGCGTCCTTCTATCTAATGTTAAGTAGATATGAGTATTTCTCTAGTGGCTAAAATATTAAGAAAAAGTTTTACTTTTTATATTAATAATTACTACGAGCCCAGCCCTGTCGAAGTTGATCCTACAAATGAAAAAATATGTTCTTTTTTAAGAATCTCCTGCTAAAGGCAACTTTTGTGGAAATTAATGCAATGCCACTATAAAATGGACGTTGTCTCTATTCACTTTTAACAAATTCAGCTTATTTTAGGTAGGTATCTAATGAAAAGAAGAAAACTTCTCAAATGATGTCATTTATCAAAGATATAATCAAATAGTACGTTCTTTAAAAAATCTGAAAATTCGATATTTTCGGAGGTTTTGATAACATCAGCGAGACAAGACAAGACTCGTCCTTTAACCACAATTTTGGGAGCGGGTAGCTTAAGTCCGCTTATTCGCAGTGGTTGTTATTCGTATGAACCCTATAAGGCTGCCTTATTAGGATCACTAAGGGCGTATATAACACCTTGTCACATTCGCGCATCATAGTGAATGTTTGCCCCCTCTTGAGGAACAATCATTGCTCTACCCACTTTAAAAATTTTGGGAGAATTAATTGTATTATATCAGCTCATACCCGACTAGAATTTTGAAGGGGTGCAGGTAGGGTCCCTAAGTAGGTAGCCATACTACTTCTTGTCGGCTCCGTGACATTCCCCTCTGGGGCAAGGAAGGGACATATAACGCCTTGTCGCAATTGCCCATCATCAGGAAAACCGTATGTAGCCCACGCAGGGGAAAATTATTGCTACCCCATTAAAAATTTTTGGTAAAATAAACTTTATTATTAATGAAAAAAATACAATATAGGTATACATGTATCACTTATTTGTAAAATTTGTTTGCTCTTAAGTAAGATTGTGTTATTGGGCTGTTTTGTAGTCAATAATANTTTTAAGCAATACAGCATTAATCCTTATCCAATTAAGTACTTTTAAATATTTTGTGCATTTAATATAGATCAATATGGCCCTTTACAGCATGTAATTTAAATGAATATTTTAGAAGAAATTACAGACTTAAAATGCAGGGACATAGCGGTTGCGGCGGTATCGGCCGGTTTGTATTGTCTAATGACAAAAAAGCTGTGATTGTTGTATATAAGGATATTCTATAGTATATTTACCATCAACATTGCACCCGTGCGAAGCATAGTGTACAAATAATACCATTAAACCAATCCCTTAACCCCTATCCTGGTATGTTTGTGTGCTTGAAGAAGTTTCACTTTAGTAGCGTGTTGAATAATTACACGTTGTATTTTTTATTTTATTTTTACTATGATTCACTATACTGAAATATTTGTGAGGGGCGAATTAAGATGTCCATTACCCTACTAGAATTTTGAGGGGGGGTTCTGGTAGGGTTCTTTGTGGGTACCCATCTTGTGGGCCTGATGAAGTTATACCTTGCGCATCATCAGGAATGTCGCATGTGCCACCCGCGGGGAAAATTATTGTTACCCCATTAAAAATTTTTGGGAAAATGAACTTTATTATCAATGAAAAAATTATTAATGAAAAAAATACAATATATACATATATCACTTATTTGTAAAATTTGTTTGCTCTTAAGTAAGATTGTGTTATTGGGCTGTTTTGTAGTCAATAATACTTTAAATTGCAATCGTTTTACTGTTGTTCGACCTGTTGCGTCTGGTTTCAGTTGTCTTATAATAACAATATCAGGAAATTGTTGGTTCATTGCAAATGTATTATTATTATTAAGTTTTTTCATTTTATCGAGAATATTTTCGAACGGATTTGCCTCATCGAGCCTCCATAAGGTAGATTTAAATTAAGTTTTGTATATGTGATAGGTTTGCGTCTTAAGACCCATATGAAAAACCCATAAGGCAATCCTCATTTCAGTATCACCACTTTTTTGGTGGGATTTTCTTAAGGAACCTACGGAGAAATCCCTATATCGGCATGCCCCTTATTAGCCACATGAGGCCCACACGCTACATGGGGCATTCGAGTCGGGTAATTTACACTAGCAAATAGCCACAAGGTTCCGATATATGATGTTTGCCTAATTGAACCCCAAAATTGCATATGTTGGGAAATTGTCCACTTTTTTGTAAATTTATGGGTACATACGTATATTAATCTTGCCTCATATGTTCCTTACGAAAAAGGCATACGCCACTCAGTCCTGCTGATTTATTTTGCTGACTTCCTGAAGAGCAATGCTCAGGGGAAAATCCCTCTATCAGCATGCCTTCATGAGACTACATATGAAGTATGTCCCTACAGTAATATGAAAAGAAAATATGTTTTCCATCTTCTGTTTTCTGCTGTGTTATTTCGTAAGTGTAGATGCTGATGTCTGATGTGAATTGACATAAAACGAACTGCTTAGTTATTACGTATATATAACTTTGTTCGTATGTACGTGTATACGCATGTGTGATGTAAATGAGGCACATCCTGTCGCGGTAAAAAGATGCTGTTATGAACGCGGACGGTCAGAAGGGCGACTACAGGGCTCGGCCGTCTGATTTTAGGGTGCGCCATCAAGGTGTGCCTTGTCAATCAACGAAGCAAATGGGTCATCCTCAATGGCCTTTCAATGCATCGCTTGACAGAGAAACGGTCGAGGTGTTCTTTTTTAACTGCCTAACTACAGCTCATACAAAATCGATCATTAACGGATTGCATCTGCAATTGTAGGTGACTTTTTTCACTACAAAATTGAACAGTAAATTTGTGAATTCGACTTCTAAGAATCTTAATATTTTATCATTAGCACCTTGGGTAAATTCGCTTCTCGATTTAAAGTTCCAACCCTCAAAAGAAAAACAGGACCCTCTCCGCTGAGAACCTGAGAGTCCAAGCAAAGCCTTATTAATCCGTAGGTAAATTTTGTAGTAGTTGGAAGAATTATGAAATAGAACGGATAATTATAAGAAAATATTAGAATAGGTACTTGCCTACTAATGTTGAATCGCTTCGATCTTAACTTGATGATAATCCATATATCTGTGTATTAATGATGAAAACCATAACTTAAAGATATTGACAGCAGATTTTATTCTCTTGCAAAAAGATTCGCCAAACATTGACATCAACAGTGATATTTATTTTTCTCCGGTGAAGTCAATGTGTCGCAAAACATCGACGCAAGTACGTATACTTATCGGTGTTGTGATAATCTTGTAAGTTGTGGTTTTTTTAGAATTTATCAATTTTAAAATGATATGGAAGTAAAAGAAACGAATTATTCTAAGAAACCGCGATAGTACACATATAGATAGATTCTACAGTATCTATACAGCTCAATTGAAAGATTCTTCCTTCATGTTCCATTTCGATTTTCAAGTTAATGGATAAGATAGTAGGTATAGTTGCGTATGTTTCCAAGTTCTGGGCTTAGCTAAGGCGAATGGTAAGTCGTTGTTGCGCATTGCGGTATCATTCGAGCGCAGAGACTACGGCGATTTCAGAGTCAAGCAAGTAAACGTAAACGCAAGAGAACGGCGGACCACGAGTTGGCCGCTTATGATAACGTGATGGAGCGAGATTTGTGCATCTCATTAGTCTCGGATTAATGGTCTTTCAGCGGGACTGTACCGGTCGGCCGGCCCTCCACGTTCATTGGATCGGCCTCGGTCGCTCGGCCAATAGCCGTCCGCCGCCAATTATGCCCGTTTATTTTGTTTTAAGGCCAACTGGCATATAAAATGGC